CCCCCCCGGCCCCATCCAAGGAGCGGCTGCTCTGCACCATTCCCTGGGGGGCTGCCTGCCCCTTCTCCATGGTAGCTACGCGGGCCCAGCCATGCCCCAGCTCCCCGGGTTCCAGCCGGGGGGAGCCTGGTTCTGGTTTGGGTTTCGATGGCCCGGATCTCAGGGGCAGTGGCGGCTTCCAGCCTTGTCGAAATGGGTGGCGGGAGGGGTCGGTCAAGGTGCCTTAACTCATCTCTGCCTAATCACACCTTTTGTTCCGGATGTGGATGCATTGCAACACCTTTTACCTCCCTTGACCAGCCTGGGGTGGTACTCAACCTGCCCCGCTGAGGTAAAAGGCTTTGCTGTGCATCTACACCAAGAAGGAGGTTGTGGTTAGTTAATGCTCCCTGACCCATTTTTCTAGTGTAGACAAGCTCTTAAAGGTGTGGAACTCTGTGTCTGAATTCCATGGATTCCTCCCCATACAAATATATAAACTTGCTTGTCAAATATCCACTGAAGAATTTCAGCTGTGATTGAGTCACATTGGACAGTCCTGTATTGTGTATATTGCATGTTCGCAAGGGTGCCATGGATCAACCCCATGGGTCTGAATATTTGGTGAAAAGGATACTGGTATCCTGCTTCATCAGCAGTTACTTGTTTCCTCTTTCATACTTTGTGTGTGCTTGTCACTGACACCCTATTGATCTCTTTAGAAGATGATACAGTTGTAATTTTAGTGATTTTATCTTTACTCATCTGTTAACTAATGTCTGGTAATAATGACCCGCAATGTCTGAAGATGCCGTATATAGATGTATTCACTTTAATGGATCCCAGGGATTCTGTTTTAAACAGGTTTGCCTTTGTTGTAATGTCCTATACTTTTAAAGTTATAAATAAATAGGAAATAGGAAATAAATCTCTTTAATGCTTCATGTTTGCATCTGTAAAATGGTGATAGCGATACGTTCTTTTTCCGACGCTTTGTCTTGTCTGTGTAGACTGTAAACTCTTTGCAGTGGGGATTCTTATGACGTGTTTGTGAAGCCCTTAGCACAAGGGGGCCCTCATATTGGCAGGGACCTCCATGTGCTTCTGTAATACTAATGATAATTTTTAACTGCAGTGAAAGGACTATGGCATCAGAGCAAACCAAGGATGAGGGGCCTGTTCCTGAGAAATCCACTGCAGGCCAGCTGGCCCCACGAGACTCAGACCCATACAAAGAACTCGACAATTTGCCTGTGAGGTAGGGTGTAGGGGTGTGTGTGTGTGTGGTTGCTCGCTGATGGTTTGTGTAAAGAGATGCACAAAATCAATCAAATGGTTCCTTTTAATGGCCTCTTACTTCTGCAAAAGCAGCACTGCCCTTAGTGGTAGAAGTCCAATGTGGTGTTAACTCATTGAACTAGCTTATTTTGAGACAGCATGTGAAGGGCATCGAGAGTGGGGAAAATTGAAGACCATTTCTCTATTAGTCCTCTTCTCCCTGCAGACCAGTGATGGGGATGGTGTTCTAGCTGTAGATTCTGAGTGGAAGTTTCTAAAATCCCTACCAGCAAAGAGAATGGAACTGATTAAAGAGTGTGCGATAAATAGAGCAAAGTATATCAGGGAGGGAGTGTGGCCTAATAGTAACTTGGGTCTCCTTGGTCTGAGATTTTGGCTCTGCCATTGACTTGCTGTGTGGGCTTGGACAAGTTGCTTCTCCTCTATCTGTTTCCCCAGCTGTAATATGAGAACACTGAACTACCTCACAGGGTGATTGTGGGATATACTTTTTAAAGCACTTTGAGAGACGTGGATGAAAGATGCAATCAGAATGCAAAGTATGGATTAGTATCTGTTTCTTTTGAATAGCATAAGTGACCTTTCTATACAAGAAAATGAGAGTGATCCCCTATCATTGGAAGCTGCCGATCATAGCCAACCAATAACAAGTGAGAGTACAGGAGATGCTCATTCAGGAGGAGCAGAAAGAGATCCTGGGATATTGCCGACCGATGCATCACTGCTGGCTGCAGAAAACAAAGGAGAAGAACCTATGCCCAGAGCAGTAGGACACTCTGGTGCTGTTTCCAGAGAGGCGCAGGCGTGTTCCTCAAATGAAGAGCTGTATCAATCTGATTCAGAGGGTTCAGACAGTGCGGTGGAAGAAGAGAGAGCCTTGCTGCCTGGGGAAAATCTGCCAACAGTTTCTCTGCACTTCCAGGTTGATGTCCATGCAGAACAGCAACATGCTACCAATAATTGCTCTGAAGGTGAACTGGAAGCGTCACACTTGCATCAGGCTAGAGGGGATGGGGATCTGGATCTGGATAGTAAACCCTTGGAGGTGCCACCAAATGGGGAGAATGGGATTGAAAACAGCAGAGTTGCGCAGGACTCAGATCAGGAAGCTTCATCCCAGAAGCCCTCTCAGAACATTGCAGTGCAGGTCAGGTACCAATTTCCTTATGTCCATGAAGCTTGAGTTTTCCCCAGCTTGGTTTTTTTTGATGGAGGGGATGGGGGGTGAAGAGGGGGCAGTGTTGGGGGGTGGAAGACAGAAGCACTGATTCCCAACTGAGAGCCTGCTGTGTGCACCAGGCAAGCTCTTCTGGTTTTCTGCTCGTTTTGTTTGTTTCAGGCAAGTAAATGCTTAACAGCTCCATAGGGCCTTTTAATCCACCAGTTCACAGTATGTGATGTGGCACAGAGAATCCTGCGGGAACTCTTCCTAGAGATGGGATCCCTTTTAAAGTCCAGTAATTTTCTTAGGTTTGGAACAGTCCTTGTTGTCCTTTGCCAAAATGTTCATGCAATATGTGCCTCTTGTGGCAGGAAGAACTAAAGCTTCTGTGTCTATTCTGGATGGTTTCTGGTTTCCCTGGTTTGTAGAGGTCATTTTCTAGGCTCCCTGGAAGGACTCTTTCCTTGGTAGGATGTTACAGATGTCACCTATTTTGTAGGAGGGAAGGATGTGAGGATGGCAGATAGCATAGAAATGAGTGAGCTGGACTGCAGGCATTCCCGATACAAAGCAATACGTGCCTCTGTACCTTGTAAAATCTGTTAGTGTGTGTGTGCGTATTGTCTTTTGTAAACAAAAAAGAGGGTGGGGGAATTATGAGCACCAGCTGACCTGAGCACTGAGTCTGGTCCCAGTCATGTTGCCCAATTGTCTAATGTTGCTTCAAGGCTGATGAATGAAACGGTGTCAGGGCTGGCTCAGGAGACAACTAAAAGTTCCTCTCAGAGTGGGAAGTGACTGTGCATGAAACTGTTGTTTGCACTTCCAAAGAGCTCTAACCCAAGTAACCGTTTCTACCTTTGCAGACTGACTTCAAGACTGCTGATCTGGAGGTGAACACAGATCAAGATATTGAAAAGAACTTGGTGAGTACTAAAGAACAGCCAGTCTTGTGATTAGAATAGGGGACTACTTCTCAAATTCCTGGGTTCTGATCAGAGATCTTTTACTGATTCTGTCACTGGGCAAGTTACTCAGGCCTGAGGAGCCTCCATTCTCTGTTATCAGGGTTTGCGACTCAGTGAAGTCAGTGGGAACTCTAGATCCCAACAGGACTACTGAAAATGAGGCCCTAAATCTTCTCTGTTTACTTGCGGGTAAAATGACATTGGGCGTGTCTATACTGCAGTGTAGCTCAGGATTGAGGCTCAAGCCTAGCCCCCTTCTGTCTATGCCAAATCATACTAACCCAGGGTCCTGGGATCCCATGAGGTGGTGGGTCTAAGCCAGGACCCAGGGTTCAAGCCCTATTGCTTTTCAGTGTAGACACAGCCCCGCTGGACTCATCCTCTGAAAATCTGCCAAAAGTATTCCACAATCCCATGGGCTGACTTTCTTTGCCCCTCTGGACAGTCATGTTTTCCCACAATGCACCATGAACAAAGGGCTAGAACGCTAGGAAATCTGGGATATGCAGGTGATTGAAGTTGGCCCTGCATAATGCGGTATAAATTCTGGAGCCTCAATTTGGGACCCAGGGTTCAACAGTTCCTCATCTGAGGTTACAAATGAGTGTCGACACTCAAGCCCTAGGTTAACAAACCCAGAGTCTGCTTACACTGCAGCGTAGCTATACCCATTGAGACTTCACTGACGTTGGTAAAGTGCTTTGAGACCCTGTCCAAAGCGCACACCATGAGGATGTGATAGTATTTGTATAACTGGGCAGTTTTCTGTGCCACTCGTTCTACATGTGACATACCCAACATGTGAGGCAAGGAGGATCCTGGCAGTTTTTCTTACAGTATGATACCTTGGACCTACCTTGATTTCACTTTGGCCGCAAGGCAATTGAAATACCACTGACTTATTTCTTTCCAAATCTCCCTCACCCTTGCTCCTTTTGAGCTCCTTTGCTTCCAGAGAGTTTGACAAAACCTTCGTGAATTGTCATAGCACTCGTGTTAGGTTGGGAAACATTAATATCCTATTTACAGCTGAAAAAATTGCACCCCGGAGACCTTAAGTGAATTTCCAAAAGGTAGTATCTAGAACCCGTGAATCTGATTCTTAGTCCCCCTCTGCTCTAACCACTAGACTACTGCCTCATTTAAATGGCAGCTTTACCGTCCTGTAATTAGTTGATGCCTGCTCCAATGATATGGGGGTGTCTGCCTCTTCTGGTCCAAGAGGGCCTGCGCTTTTTGACTGGGAATCATACAAACCATGACTCTTCACAGCCTGCATCTTGCCTTTTCCTGAGCTTTTATACCCTACTGGGATGACTTGCTCTCCTCTGATTGCATCAGCACTTGGTACTGCCTGACAGGTCTGTCTGCATCATTCTCTTTGGTGCAGTAGGAGAGAGGAAACAATTACCTACCCTTTTGTCCATTACAGGGCAAAATGATGTCTGAAAGGGCCTTGTTGAAGGAACGTTACCAGGAAGTGCTAGACAAACAGAGGCAGGTGGAGAATCAACTCCAGGTGCAGCTCAAGCAGCTCCAGCAACGAAGGGAAGAAGAGATGAAGAATCACCAGGTATCAAACGAAGCACTTTTTCTCTCAACATCCAGCCTGCCCAACACCGTTCACAATTGTACTGCTAAACTGGGGTAATCCAGTGCCATGCTGCAGGGCACAAGATGATGCTTGGAGAGGTCAGGAAGGGATTTCTCTTATGGGGAACATAGCACAACTTGCCAAGTGTGTTACGTGGGGATTCTTCTAAGCATCAAATATTGGTCACGGCAAGAGTCAGGGCAAAGGACTTGTTTAGATGTCGATTTTTTCCGAATCTTTAATCCTATGGACTACATCTAAATAAACAGCATCTCATGGACCGGTCTCTTCCTGTTCATGATCTCCTAACATCCCCATGACAATGACAACAGTAGCACTAGGGAAGCATTTCCTGTATGAATCGTAGGAGCTGGGAACAAGGAGAGTTAGCACTGTGTGACCAGTCAGCTCTGGCCCGCAGCTTGAGAGCCATTGGATTAGACCAGTGGTTCTCAGCCTCTTCTTCCATTCTGTGACCCCTTGTCAGAACAGAAAAAAGCTTCAGCACATTCTCTTATCTAGATTTAAAGAAAGGGAGGAAGGTTATTAACCCCTGACACCTGTTTCGGACCTCCCACTCCTCCCCACATGAGAACCTGCAGCGTAGACCACTCATCTGTCTTGTGCAGCAGCTTCTAGTTTCTTGTTCATAATCCTCAGCCCATTGCCTTGCATGACTGATGATCTAACATTTATCTGTTAAAACCCTTTTGTGGCACGTGTAATTATCCACCCAATTAATTGCATCAAGTTCAGAATTAAAAAAAACAATCTTGTGGTGAGCTTACGTTCTTTATTTGCTTGGTGCTGGCTATGCTTTAGGAGATCCTGAAGGCCATTCAGGATGTGACGATCAAACGCGAAGAGACCAAGAAGAAGATGGAGAAAGAGAAGAAAGAATTCTTGCAAAAGGAGCAGGATCTGAAAGCCGAAATTGAGAAGCTCTGCCAGAAAGGCAGAAGGTATTCCTGTGGGAGAGCAAGTGTTTGTTGAAGTAAAACCGTGTATGATTGAACCCTAGGGCACCTGTGGTTGGTTTGATGCACTAGGTGGAGAGTGCATCACCATGTGACCTTTTTGGACTGTCAAAAGTATCTCTAGCAGTGTGTGTGTTAATATATTAGGGGAGGTCTGTTCAGGTTTTAAGCAACTCTGTCTGTAGCTGATCTAAGTACACAGAGGCTCCCCAAAATGAATGTATTTTCAAAGAGACAATGTTGAGGTTGTTGGCTGTAAATGCTGACTGATCTTGATGCAGGAGACCTACAGCTGAAGCCCTGAGTACTTGGGGTCACTCAGTCCTTTGGTGCTTTGCCATCTTGGTGTTGTGGCCCAGTTTCAGTTTGACTGATGACTCCCTGTCTACCCAGAATTACCCCTGTGCATGGTTTGCTCAGATGCTGCATGGATGGTGCCCTATAGATAGCGAACAGTTTTGGGTGGCCGAGTTGTTCCTTGCTGCTCACCCTGAGCTGCTGTGGAGGGTTGAGTTGGGATGCACTGTAAAACAGCTGCTGTTCTTCTCTAGGGCCAGATGCTGCTTGCCTTTCTCATGCAAACTGCCTCACTGGTTCCAATGGGACTGTTACATGGATAAAGTGAGCAGAATTTGGCTCATACTTTGGGTTCCTTTTGGGAGAAGGGAGGGGATGATCTTACACTTTGGGAGAGAGTTTATCATCTACTGTCCCATGCTGTAGGTCTTATTTTGAAGAGCACAGTAATTGCATTTTTCTAAACCGTCCTTCTAAAACTACCTTAATAATAATAATAATCCAAGTACCAAATCCACTTACTGTGTGTCCCTCTGCAAATAAACTGGTGCTTGGACAATGGCTTTCTTTGCACAATTTCATGATATAGCAAAGATTATGCTCCCCTGAAAGCATCACTGGCATCCTTACAAAAATACATATGTGATTGATCTCTCAAAGTAGATCACTATATAGAGCTCCTGACTTTGATGTGCTTTTAGTTCTGAGCCCTCTCCAGCGATAAGTGAAAGGCTCCACTCTTGCAGTAAGTGACTCGGTCTGTCCTTTCTCCCTTTTGCAGGTTACTGAAAGAACAGGAGGAGAAGGAAAATAAAATTGTTTCTCTAATCGCAGAGCAGTCTGATGAAAAGTAGGACTCTGTTTTTATAAAATGAGTTCTGTGGAATGCTCTCCTTCCATTCCCTTCCCCTTAATTCATTGGAAACATTAAATCACACACAATAGCTCCAAAGTGAGACTTGCGTCACCTCTTTCCCAGTGGTGAATGGTGATGCTCCAAGTGAGAGGCTGATAATGCGGACTAGAGGCACGTGGGATAGGGTGCATGCTTTTTGTCTCCTCCCCAGCTCTGCCAATGCCCATCAGTCCCTACCTGTGTTATGCGCAGGCATGTCATGAGCAGAGACTGCCAAGTGCTTCATTGGTGTGGATGAGAATTGGGCCACACAGAATGACTTTGTCATCTCTACCTGTAACTGAACTTGTGCTTGCAGAGGTCTGACTAGTCCATTTATCCCATTGTGCTATCATCTACTTTTGCCCTAATGCTGTTTTTAACTTTGGAGCTTGAACCTGTCTCTACTCAGAACATAAATACTCCAAAGTTAAAAACAGCATTAGGGCAAAAGTAGATGATAGCACAATGGGATAAATGGACTAGTCAGACCTCTGCAAGCACAAGTTCAGTTACAGGTAGAGGTGACAAAGTCATTCTGTGTGGCCCAATTCTCATCCACACCAATGAAGCACTTGGCAGTCTCTGCTCATGATATGCCTGCGCATAACACAGGTAGGGACTGATGGGCATTGGCAGAGCTGGGGAGGAGACAAAAAGCATGCACCCTATCCCACGTGCCTCTAGTCCGCAGTAGCAAGGTCTGA